TTCTACACACTTCCCACATTTGTCCTGAAGATCAGATAAAGGAGAGTGGTCTGAAATGTGACACCCATGTGTAAGTCACTCTATTACAATGTTTGCTGGGTGTATCTGTTGACAAGGGACAAAGCAAATACTTCTGGCAAAATACCACCTGTGTTATTCATGTTATAATGCTCAGGACTTCTGTAGATGACTCTTGGTATCTTCTCCATCCTAAATGACTTCAGTATCCTGTGTAAGACTCTTTCAACATCCCTTCTCACAGCTCCATGTCATCACCCCCAAACATCTCACTTCTACTAGATTTCATGCACATAGTCATTCACACTCTATAAATCTTGTCATGCCCTCCAAACTAATTTACTTTGAAATCCTTAAGCTCCAGATTTAAGAATATTTGTTGTTTTGCTCACAACATCCTAATCTAGCACTCAAATTCATTTATTTCAATTATACCTGCTTTTCAATCCCACCAAGATTTCCTCAAATATTTTTCTCTCAATTTCTTGAATCTTCTAGTTAATGCAATCACCACAAAAGTTCTACTCTGTCCTGTCCCAGGGGATCTCTCCGCCTGAACTCTGGACTCTAGCTCCACCCCCAAGTCCTGTTTCATCAATTATTTACTCTCTCCTCTAAGTCTTCAGCTTATTCTTTCCTGACTTCTTTCCCTTAGTGATAGACATGACTTCATCTCTTCTCACAACTGCCCCCTCAATATCTTTAGGTTACATGATCCGATCTTCTCTTTACCTAGAGTTCTCTTGTCTCCTTTTCATAGCCAAAGTTTTTCTCACTCCCTCTAAACCAACTCACCCCTCTGTAATCTGACTTCTGTCCTCACCATTCTTTTGAAACTGCTCCAGACCAGGCCCCAGTGACCTAACAGGCTATGGTTATATTTCACTTCTTATCTAACTTGGCATTCCCTCTAGAAAGCTGTTCTTCTGCTTTGATGCTACCATACCAACAGTGTGGGATTCCTCTTCCCCCACTCCTGTACCCCTCCCCCAATCTACCTGGTGTTTCTGACTCCCAAACCAGTTTTTTTCCTCTTTCTCTTTGATAGACATGCATTCACCCTCCATTTTCCTTTCCACTGTCTCTATCTCTATCTAAGCAATTTTATCTTTACCTGTGGTTTCAATAAACATTTATATATGCTAATGCCATACATTCTTGGAGTCTCAAACCTATATTGCAAACTGCCTTTGAGATAACCCTGTTTTTATGAGATATAGGCACCTCAAACTTAATATGCCCCAGACTGAATTTATCATCTTTCCCTTTTCCAAAACTGACTTTTTCTTCTATATTTTCTATCCATGTAGATGGTAACACCATCCACCCAGGAACTCACTCTACACATGTGAATAAGACAAGATTGTTTGTCATCCCCTAGATTCCTCTGGCTTAAAATCCTGTTGAAATTGCTCACATACATCTCTTCAATCCATCTGTTCATCTCTTTTTCTGTGATACTGCTGAACTCAAATCTTTTGTGTCCCTTTTCTGCATCATCTCGATAACTCCTGGACTGTTCTCCCTGCTGGCATTTTCACTTCCAACTCCAGCCTCAAACTTGGTATTTTTTTTCTTTGCCATTGTTAGTTATTCATGCTTTCCCCCTTTAGTATCTTTTTCAAACTAAAATGTAGTAAATCCTCTTTATAAAATAGCCAAATAATTTATAATGCTTGTAGAGTAAATAAAAGGTATCAGGCTTTTCTGCCCTCCTGCCATTAGGATTGATGATTGATCCCTGCGGTCCTGAATGCATGCCTGATGACAGGCACCTGGAGTAGGGAGTGGGCATGTGTAGGTGGGTACACCTGGGCTGAGACTGAGCTTATAAGGGCAGCATCACGGGGATGCCAGCAGAGAAGCAGAACAAAGTAGAGTGAAAAGAAGGGAACAGTAGAAAGGAGCCGAGAAGCAGATGCCACAAGAGAGCACCGGGAGGCTTCCCAGCCTCCCAGCCCCCCCCCCCCCCGCCCCGCCTGCCATGTACCTGGTAAACCCCAATAAAAGCTTGAAAAGCCACTGAGGGCTCCAGGACTCTCCTTACCCTGTCTGCTCGGATCATACAGAACCTGTCCAGTGGCCTTCCTGCCACTACAATGCTATAAAGAAAAATTTAAAGTCACTCTGACTTTAAATCTTACTCTGGACTACAAACTCACCTTTTTTTCCCTGAAAACAGGATCTTATTAAACATACTGTATTTCTTTTTCTTTAACAAGTACTCCTCCCCCCACACACACAATTTAACATCTCTGAAACCAACTGTATCATACAATCAATGATGTGTTAGATTTGGTTAAATACACTCTTGTTCTGAAATGTGTGATTTTTACTCATTAATATGGTTCATACTTCCAAACCAGCACTTAACTCCAGGATAATCTTTCTAAAGACCAACCTGGTCAGATCACTACCCTCACAAATTTCTTCAAAGGATCCTCTCCCTGTTTCCTCCCCCAGGTACTTCATCTTCTGACCTCCTCTGACTCTCACAGTCTCATTTCTGGCACATCCATACATATCTTTACACATACTCTTCCTTAAAGCCAAGTAGACTTTTACAGTCAGTTCCCCAAATGCACTACTCTGAGCCAGATATTTGTGCTTTTGCACCAATGTTTCTGCTACCTTGGAGGTTCTTCCTTACCTCTGCTATTCAAAATTGCCTCTCATTGGAAAATTGCCCTGACCCCCCCAAGCTAAACCTGGGTTCTTCTTTTTTCAGTCTTCAGCTTCTCCAGCAGCTGGTACAAGTCCTTGTCAAATCTCTTCACACACAGGTTCCTACAATTTCTCTTGTTTGTTCTTCCCCATAAATTCTTGAGCCTGTTTTTTCTTTACTCCCATTTAAGGTAGTACAAGTTGCATAGGTACTCCATAAACGTGCTTTGGAAATACTCATCTGTACATTCGGAAGACATAAAAATGCTCCCTGAGAGGGGGAGGGGCAGGAAGGGGTGAGCACAATGGATTATGGTGGAGACTGTGGGTGCTTTGGAGGTGGGAGAGCTATGCCTGAGGGGAGAAATCCTATACCATCAAAATATTAACAGGGACGTAAGACAATGGTACTTCATTTAAAAAAGTAAGTAAGTATTTTTTAAAATGCTCTCTGAGATAAGATGAGGAACATTCTAACTAACCATCCCCTTAACCTGAGACAAGAGAGACAAAAAGGAGACAATCTAGAAGCTCAACTACCTGGGTCCCCCAAACTCAAAAGGATTTGGATTTTTCTTTTCTTGCCTGGTTTTCTACTCTTCAGACCTATTGATTCCACCTTCACCTAGAGATAATCTGATTTCAACAGCGTGCCCTAGAGAACACTTCCTTTCAGCCTTGTCCTTTTAGTACATGAAGTTCAAATCTCTGTCTATATGGTCACCCTGCTTGACACTGCCCTCTATTTTATGCCAGAAAATTTGAAAAGTACCATGAAGTGTTCCACCTCCCCCCTTGCCACTCTAAAATGCCCACCTGTGTTTTCCATTTGGGCTCCCACCTGTCCCAGGTATGGACACTCTTCTAAGTTCCACCAATACGTAACACTAGGAAAAAACCTAAAAATAAGCCGAAGTGTAACACAAAACCTTTATTTTAATAACTATCCTAAAGTTTGGAGTTAATGCTTCACCTTAGTGAAAAACCATTATTTCCCCTCCCCCATAACCTACTACAGGTTTGGATTTTATAAATGCCCAAAATGGACAGAAGTGTTTCCAGTTCTTTCTGACCTAGATAATAAAGCCAAGGTGTCCAATTCACTCCTGGAAAAGTACCCGGGAGCTATCAGGGGACTCAAAGCTCAGCTAGTGTGGCCAATGTGGCAGGCACTGTGATTGGTTCAGGCTAAAACACGTTGTCAATTGTGGGGGCAACATACTTTTAATGCCTGGCCTTGCCAAAAAGGTCAGGGACTCATGAAACCATCAAAAGTAGTAGAGCAAAAGAAGAAAATATGGAAAGATGAGGAGAGTTTAGAGAAAAAGAGTGTCAAATGACAAAGTAGGAGAAAAATGGAGACTTGGTAATAGAAACAGAAGACAGAGGATTCCCTATTTGCTATCACAATTGGGGCTGAGGGTAAACAAGGACGTCATAACTGAAAGAAATGGGAAGACAAAGCAAAGGAAAAGAATGGGTTGGGTATTGAGTCTGATAAGTAAATAGATAAAACAATGACGTGATCTTAAGCATGTAAACTGGACCCATAAAGAAACAGGATGTCATGCTGTTATATGTCAAGTGTATTTATTTTAAAAAAGATATTGTGGGAAAACTTTTAAAGTAGAAGACTTGCTTATGTGAGTATTTTACAAAAATTAATAAGACAGTGACTAGAAGAGTTAATTTTTTATTTTGTTACTATTTCATTATGGTCATATTGATGTAAAAAAGCATGACGTGTATTTTTTTTTTTACAAAGAAATATGCTTTACAAAGAAAAAAGAGAAATGGAATCTCAAACACAGGGATTATTATAATAAGGCAGTGTCAACATGTAGACAGATAAAATGAGACGGAAAGCAGCTGTTTGGAAAAGTGCTGTAATTCCATGTCTTGAAGAGACCAATGAAAAAGGCAGTTCAGGTCTACAAAGGGACCGGGAATTAGAAGTTCGTTCCCTCAAGGGAGATATAGAGTCGAGGGGCCACCCCAGTGTTAGGAGCAGTGCCATCAAACCAGGTGAGCCTGTAATAAGCTTAACGCTTTGAAGGTGTTGAGGAAATTTCATATTCGGAGAAAAAAGACGATTTCACCTCGGACGCCAACACACACACACACACACACACACACACACACCCCAGAACTGTACAAATCTTCTCACAAATTTTAGATTAAATTACATCAAAGCAACACTAGGCATCAAATGGCAGGACATAATTCTTCTTCATTGGAGCCGCTGAGGCAATCAATGATCAAACAGTGATTTCCCCTGCATCTTAACATGAGCCAGTTATGAAGGAAAAAGAACTAACCTGTAGCCATCGGGATGATTGCGCTTTTCAGCACAGACATAGGTGTATTTGGACCCTTCGCCCAGGGGCCCCGAGGAGCTGCAGCACAGCATCTCCAGATCAGGCGAAGCTTGTTTTGGATGGAAAGTGAGTTTCCCCGTCCCCGATACTGCCTCCGGGAATCTGAAATTATTACCCCACAGCGGCAATAAAGGCACCTTTGGAGAGACCGCAGAGTGCCGGTTAATTTGCACCTTCTTCCCCAGCCATTGATTTTAGTCATAAGTTCGGCAGCGCGAGGAGAGGGCAGGAACAGACCCACTACTTTCGTTTCCCGTGTGGCGGAGCCCCAAAGCAGCAGCCCGCGCCTACCTGCCTGCTTTTCCCGGGCCGGAGCGGCCGTGCGTCCTGCAGGGCGGCTCGCCGCGGGCTCCGCCTGCTCCCGGCGGCGGCCAGCTTCCGACCTCCCCTAGGGCCGCTCTCTGGCTGGGGCCAGCCTGACTCATCTGGGATGGGTGGCAGGGGTGGGGGAAGCCATCAGAGGGCGGAGGGACAGGAGAAGGCGGGTCGGGCCCTTCCCCCCGAGCCGGGGAGGAGGCGTCGCCAGGGCGCAGGTGAAACCGACTCCGACCTATCCCGGGAACTTTCGCCGCCAGGACTCGCAGCGAGAGGCTAGCGTCGCACAGGGGCGGCCCGGGAGCCGCCCTCTCCCACCCAAGCTGCGCGCGGGGGCTTTTCCCGGGGACCTTCACCCCGGGGACCCGCGGCCCTCTTGGCGCGCTGGGAGGCGCCGAGGAGCTCCGGCCTCCGCGGCTGATGGAGGCGAGTGACACCGCCCCGGGCGCAGGTGCCACCGGCCGGGCCAGGGTTTCTGCTGGCGGCGGACAGGGTCGGGAGGACGAAGCGCAAACCCCAGCGAGCCAGGAGACGACGAGGCAGCGATGGCCCGGGAGTTGAGCCAGGAGGCACTGCTGGACTTTCTGTGCCAGGCCGGGGGCCGAGTGGCCAACGCCGCCTTGCTGAGCCACTTCAAGAGCTTTCTCCGAGACCCCAACACGTCCCCCGGCGAGCACCAGCGCCGCCGCGAGCTTTTCAAGGGCTTCGTCAACTCAGTCGCCGCAGTGCGCCAGGACCCCGACGGCACCAGGTACGTGGTGCTGAAGAGGAGGTTCAGGGACCTTTTGGGGGAGGAGGGGCTGCAACGACCCCGCGACCCGCCCGCGGCCGCCGCCCCTGCAGGGGGAGCTGCGCCGGGTTCCCCGCGAGGCGCGCGCAGTGGGGAGCGGCCGCCGCAGCACCGGCGGCGGCGACGCGAAAAGGAGCCAGAGGAGGAGCCAGCAGGTGCCGCAGCTGCAGTCGCCGGCGCAGGTTGCAATGGACTCCCGGCCGGCGGCGCCCGGGAGGCGGCCCGGAGAGGCGGCGAGCGCCGGGGCAGCGCTGGCTACAGGGCGCCGGAGCCCGAGGCTGCGCGAGCGGTTGCCCAGACCGGAGCGAGGTGCGCGGCGGAGGAGACGCAGGGCCGCCCCTGCTGGGAATGCCTCCAGAACGGCCAGGGGGCACCTCCGGGCGCGCCGCTGCTCCGCGCAGTCCCTGACCCCGCCACTGCCGGGAAGAAGCGAGCGCGGGGTCCGCCGGCCCAGGAGAAACGAGGGACCCCCAGGCAGCAGCGGGAACAGGCACCCGCTGAGCCCGCGCGGGTGCCCTCAGAGTCCCGCTCGCCCCCTACAACGGTCGAAGCTGCTGGGAGTCGAGCTTCCCCTCCTGCTCTCGCGTCCTGCCCCGCTTCCCCAGGAGAACTGTTGGAAATGCTGACTCCGGGCTCTCAGCCTTACTCGACCCTGCAGCAGCAGCAGCAGCGCACACGAGAATGGGTGGCCAGACACCCCCAGATATCCGAAGCCCGAGAACGGGGTCCCAGCCGAGTATGGTCAGTGCTGCCAAATGACTTTCCCCGGCTGCCCTCTGAGTTGGGCTTTTGCATCTCCGAACCGAACCCAGCGCTGCAGGACTCCACGCTTCCTTCGCACTCCCTCTTTCCCCTTACTCCTGACTCCTTGCCCGGGAACTCTCCAGTGACAGTCTTTCGTAGCATTCGCTCTCAGCTGGCCCTCCAAGATTTGGATGACTTTGTGGACCAGGAGAGCCACAGCAGCGAGGAGAGCAGCAGTGGGCCTGACGAGTCCCCGGGGGCTTCTGAAGAAGGGCTGCAGGTTGCCCTGGGAACCCCAGATTGGAGAAAGCTGAGGAATCCAGATGGGGGCCTTGCTCCAAAGGAGGGCAGTTCCTGCAAGAGCCCACAGCAGAACGTCAGCAACAGACGTGAAGGCCACACCTCTCAGCAGGTCCTAACAGGAGGTAATGGCCTTGCAGACCATCCCCAGGAGCCTCTGCCCTCGCCAGGCCCCAAGTTAAGGAGATCTCTCAGGAGGAGCTTTCAGGCAGGGAGAGCCAAATTGTCCTCCTCCGATGAGGAGCACCTTGAGGAGGACTTGAAAAGGAGTCGGCGCCCACTACGGTTCAGGAAGCTCTCCAAGGCAGCAGCAGTGTCCAGCCCTAGGGTGGATGCTCCTTTGACACCAAAAACTTCGGACATGAAGTCTGCTGTTGCTGGTGGGGGTCACCCACACAACTCATGGCCTCGGGTTGGGGAGGAATCGTCAGCCTTGGTCCCCCACAGGGTTTCTGAGCACAAGTCATCCCTGGTTCCCTTAGATGTCAGGGAGCATGAGTGGATTGTGAAGCTTGCCAGTGGCTCTTGGATTCAGGCCTTGGCTTTGTTCTGGCAGGACCCTCAGCTGGCTTTGCACAAAGACTTCTTGACTGGGTTTACTGCTTTGCACTGGATAGCCAAACATGGTGACCTCAAGGCCCTTCAGAAATTTGTCTCAGGGGCACAGAAAGCAGGGATTGCTCTTGATGTAAATGTGAAGTCCAGTTGTGGATATACCCCTCTGCATCTTGCAGCCATTCACGGCCACCAGGGGGTCATGAAATTGCTAGTACAAAGGTTGGCTTCTCGGGTGAATGTCCGGGACCACAGTGGGAAGAAGCCATGGCAGTACCTGACCAGTAAAACCTCTGGGGAAATATGGCAGCTACTGGGAGCCCCTCTGGGTAAGCCCATTTTCCCGGTTTATCCCTTAGTCCAAAGTTCTTCCCCCACCAGGAAGGCAAAGAGCCGGGATATACCTAGAAATGTGACTCGAAAGACTTCTTTGGCTGCGCTCCTCAAAAATCAGCAGAACAAATGGAAATTGGCCAACCAGTATGACAAATACCCCATTCCACGGGAAAGAGAAGAGTATAGTGACTGAGTTGGGTTTCTCTGTCCAACATGCAGCCACCACTGTATCTTTGAACTCTTTGGTGAGGGAATTCATGGGGAACAGAAAAATCGTCAAGCAGTTGTTAAAGCTCAAGTGAGATGGTCTACTGGGTATTTACCTCCCTGGATTTTATATCAGTGCATCCTGGACCTCCGGAGTCATCTAAGCTTGCTGATGGCTCAAGACAAGGGTAAAATTGGGTGCTTAAAACCCAGGAGGTGTTCTTCCTTTTTCCTTGCCACCATGGGTCTGGGCACAGTAAACCACATTGTTTCTTGAAGCAGTCTTGGCTAGAAGAGGGAACAGATGTCTAATAAAAAGAGAGGCAATTCTAGGAATTGATGAAGCTCAGACAAAATCCTTGCTGGCTGGTAGCTCTTTGGCTTCTATTCATTTGGAGAGTGAATCTTGGCTAAGAGTGGAAAGCACCAGGTTTAAAGTCAGATGGCTGCTGTTCTTTCTTTTTTTTTTCCCCCTTTGGCATTCAAATCAGTGAAATCAGATTATAACTGGAGAGTAGAATTTGATTTAAGAGATTCCCCAGCCCTGTCCTCAGGGCTTCTTTGAATGCAAACCAATGGTGGCTAATTCGTAAAATGATCAGTACCCTATTTTAGTCCCTTCTACTCTCAGAAAAACAGTTGGGTAAGATGACTAAAATTCAGGTCCTGCTTATTTTTTAAGTCAACCTAAGGGGAATCTTCCAAATGTAAAAACTGTGTGGCTCATTTGTACGATGTCTGAGTCCATCTTTCATGGAAACACCCTGCGTATTAAACAGCAGTTTTCAATAAGTGTATGACCAAGATTCATACTCTTAAAAATAGAGAAGTGATTTGACTCTGGGGAAGTAATAAGGGTTAAGAGGTCAATGCCTCCCCACCAGGAATTTTCTAAGCTGCTAAATATAATTTTATTTGCACTAAACTTGTTGCCAATTAAGATTAAATATTAGTCTTAAAGTGCTGTTTATCTACAGGAAGTGTTCCTTATAATTGCTTGTGGTGGGACTAATCTTTGTGGGTCCATGGAAAAAAAAGAATGGCTAGTCTATAAATATCTATAGAACATCAAGATTTCAGAATATAAATTGAAAGTAGCCTAAAAGATTCAATGTCCATGTGAAGATTTGTTCATTTTTCTATGGAAATGTTTCCATGTGCTGTGGCAATGATGTTGTATTTTAAAAGTATTTTTGTTATTCCCTTTCCATTAAAATACCAACACATCTTTATAATTTATTGTGCTATTATTTTTAATACAAAATTGTGTCACCATGAGTGTCTAATATTTTTGTTTATTTGTAGTTTCACTTTATCATTTTGCTGAAATAAATATATCATTGTTCTATTAGAAAACAAAAAAAGTAGGCATAATAAATAGATCTAAGGATTGTTTTTCCAAAAAGACCTATAGAAGGGATAAAACTTTGGCAAATCAAGTTAAGATAATGAGCAGCAACCACACTTAGTGGGGGCATGTTTAGAAGAGATGAAAATTTAAAAGAATAAAAGATAAACATCTATGTGAATGCTCTCCTGAAGAGGTGATTTTCAAGAAAAAAAATCATAAAATATCAACTTCTTTTTTTAATTTATTTTTTACATCATTATTTCAACTTCTTTTGAAAGCCAAAAGAGTATTCTTACTTTACCATATTACCATCAGTACATAAATTTATTCAACACATGTGTTTTGCTGAGTGCTGTGGGATTTATAGAGGTGACTGGGAATTTACTATTGCATCCTCCCCTCTTAAAACTTAAAATCCAACAAGTTTTTTGGTGATTGATTTATACCCTACCTCGCTCCACAGCTGTCTTTTAAAGCTGCATTATATTAGATATAGGCTTTGAAAGAGAGGGAAAGAAAAAAAGGGTGATACAAGGAATGAGGACAAAACAACCCTAATGTTACAGAGGATTTCAGAGGAGACATTTCTTTGGACCGGGACAACCAGAGAGAACTTTATGAAAGCCAGGAATCTTTAAGTCAATGATGCTGACTTTCCAAAGAAACCAGCTTTGTTGGTTCTACCACATTCTTGACTTCGGCTTCAGTATGTAATTTGCATAGTACTAGTGTTGACCTAAGAACACAGATCAGAGTCTCAAGTTGGTTCTCATGAGGACCTTTCTTCACATGTCATACGTACAACTCTGAACAACTCTCTTACATGGTCAACATGTATGTTGGGAGGATGCAGGGGAGAAGAGGATGTTGCAAGTAAGACACAGTCAACCTCTTGCTCATGTTGGAAAGTCCAGATGAAGAGGTGTGCCAGGCCTGGAACATTTTTCCAGTTTTCTCACAACCACTTGCTCCCATGGACACTACATGGAAGCCACACCTACCCACTGTGGGAGCTAATAGTCACCCCCGCTCCTCTGTTTGTCTTGTTGCTGATTTCCTTCAACCTTGAATCCCTCTTGTTCTTTTCATGGTGAACTTAATTTTATTTTTCAAGAGCCAGCTCAAATGTTCCAGGGTAAACACCTTCATCAGAATTCTCATAATACTGTATACACACCCCACTTTTAGCTTTTGTCACACAGTATTTTAGTAAATTGTTTCATTTTTCCTTAAGATTTTGAATGTCAGAAGTTTAGAGAATGTGTTTTCAATTCTTCTAAATTGTACAGCGATTCCTGGAACATCCACTATGTGATAAAGTCATAATCTTGCCTTCAAGAACTACTCTACAAGGGAAGGAGAGTGTGAAGGTGGGTTACTGAAAAATAATTCCAGCACAGTAAGGTAAGTAGATAGACATGTGCATTGAGACTTTTTTTTTAAAGATTTATTTATTTATTTATACATACAAGCAGTGGGTACAGTCAGAAGCCCGGGAGGGTGAGAGAATTCACTAGAGTCAGAGCAGGGAGCAGAGCAGGCAGAAAGACCGAAGTACACTGCTGAGGGGAGCAGCGGGCAGCAGGAGAGGTCTGTGCGCCATGTGGGACCCTCCTCTGGTGGCCAGGGAGCAGCAGAGGCTGCGGGCAGCTTCCAACCCAGAGCTCAACTGCTGAGCCACCAGGGAGGCCCTGCATTGAGATTTTGAGAGGATAGAGAAGAGGATATTTATGGGGCATTTCCTATAAGGCTTTATGTTTATGAGGGAAATACAATGTTTAGTAAGATATACATGTTCCTGTTCTCATGGGACTTTACTGGATTGGAGAAGTCAGGAAGGTAAAATAGAAGTTAGATGGTCTTTGAAGAGTCAAATGGTGAAAACAGAAAAGAATATTCCAGAAGGAAGGCTGAACAAAGCTATAGGGTGTGCTTAGGGAAAAGACAACTACCTCTGTGTGGTAGCAATCAGGTGGTGTAGGAAGAGATGAAGATGAAAGATAGCTTAAGACCAGATTGGAAAAAGTCTTTTATAATATGTCAAGAGACACAGGCATTTTCCAGAAAGTTAGGAATTGTCAAAGCTCCTCTAGAACATCTTTGTGTTATTTCAAATATAGTTGTTTTCCTGAAGTCTCAATTTGAAGACCAGAAATATCAAAATATTAGATAGGATGTGCTTCCTTTTAATGTTTTTCTTTGTCTTTGATGTAGCTAATGCTTACTTGCTAGCAAATATCAGTAGACAATAAAATAATTTAATAAATGGTAATTTAATAAGAAAGGCAAACATTAGAAACTTGATACTTTTAACTCAACCACTTTTTTTGGTATCTGTAGTTGTGAAGTAGTGAATTATTATCTTCTAAGTATATACCATAAACTTACTTTCTTCTAGTAAAATTGCTTATGGCTGAACATTTCAGACAGGATGTTATGCACAGAATGCCATGACATTCAGATGCCTTCATTTCTCTGTACATTTTTTAAATGACAACGTCACTGAGCTACAGTTCACATATACAATTCACCTCTTCAAAGTGCTCTGTTTAATGGTTTTCAGTATATTCACAGGCAAATATTACAACAATAAAGTCCTGTGTACACTGGAAAACCCTGACCAATGGTTCAGGCAGTGGAGAGCTATTGACAGCTTAATACAGAGAGTGCTGTGTACAGGTTCAGGTGAAATAAAGATCCCTCTTGCAAACTAGGGCAGAATTTTATACACACACACAAACACACACACACTACAGTGTCCTAGTTCCATATTGGAAGTATTAGGAATGTTAACTCAATCAGCTGGGTAAGTTGGATAAGACTGGATGTCCAGATGAGGAAAGAACATTTTAGTTAGAGGGCTGATTTGGTCAATAAGCATTAGGAAAGATCCAAAAGGACATTTCCATTTCCTTTCTCTCTCTCTCTCTCTCTCTCTCTCTCTCTCTCCAAATCTAAAATGCCTTGGTTCAGTGATTAAAGATGATTTCATTTCTGTGATGATGTTCTAGTTTCAAGATGGCACTGGTCTTAAGAGTATAAATTCCATCTCTGTATAGGCTGTTTAGCACCAGTGTTAGCGTATGCACCCATGACTACTGACGACAAAGAAATGCTTGAAATGTATCTGAAACGGCAGGAGAGCATAATATTTAAGCTCAAGGCAATGAAGCTGGGATGTCTGGGTCTCTGTCATGGCTTGAACCAAACCTTCAACTTCTCAGTTTTCTCTTGTTGAAGATAATTTTTTGAAAAGATTAAATGAATTAACACAAAGTCTTTAGCAAATGTCTGCACATAGCAAATCCTCAATAGATGTTAACTCTTATTATTTTTAACACCATTCAAAATATTACAATTTACTTTAAATTTCTATCTATGCACAAGATAAAGAAATCCTCCAGTTCATTAAAAAGGTGTTGCAAGAGCAAGATTTACTGATAAAGTCAAACATTTTCCTCTTGCTTCCACATAAAAAGATACTTATGTTCCTCATTTCAAAGAAAAGCAAAACAAAACCTGATAATTTCTTATGCCTAGTAATCATTAGCTATTATGATTTGTGATTAAATGGAATTAGGTCTAATTGAAGTCACATAAACTAGTATCAGTCAAATTAGGGACTCTGGTGTGGCCTGGAACTGAAACCCAGGGAGAGCTCTGAAGGGGTGAGGAGAAAAGTTTATATATATACATTTAGAGAGAGAGAGAGGTTAACTTGGTTAGAATGGATCTGAAGTCAGAGACTCCCCCATCTCGGGGGTTCAGGCTCCAGGCCCCAGAGCACTGTTGTGGGCAGTTCTAGTGGCAGCAGGTGGGTCATTTTACTGCCTGCCATCAGTCACCTCACTGGGGCTCTGGATACTGGCAGAGGCAGCAGTGATTGTTGACAGCAGTGGTTTCCCTAACACAGAAGCCCAGGGCCTGCAGGCCCTAGGTCAGGGCTGGAAGGAGGAGCATGAGGCCCTACAGGCTCAGCTTCAGCCCTGTGCCTTCTTCAGCTGTAGGCAGTAGAGAGGCCCGTGAATTTGGCACCTGGATCGTAGAATGGACCCATCAGGTATAAGACATTTGCTGGTCGGTGTTACAGTCCAAACAGCTTATAGGATTGAAAACAATCCAGTCAGACCTGGTAGTGGGAGACCCTGAAAAAGATAAGGCAGAGCAGGAGCCAGCATGGGGTTCACTGGACTCTCTGAGTCAGACTGACACACTCTTCCCGAGACGGATTTTGTTCCTGGCCTCCAAAGAAAGAAGAAACATCCAGCAGCTGATCTCTGAAGAAAGAAGAGGAACCAGAGAGCTTTGCCTAGACCGGGGGCCGCTGCCTTCTCCTGGCCTGCCCCTGACACCGCCTGAGAGGAGTGAGCACTAGGTCCTGGGCCTGGTGTCTCAAAGGGCTGTTTGTCATTGATTTGGACCAATAACTTACAAAGGGGTATCTAGGGTAAGGTAAAAAGTGTGAAGCTTTTCTGCCCTCCTGCATTAGGATAGATGACGGAACCCTGCGGTCCTGAATGCATGGCTGATGGCGGGCACCTGGAGTAGGGTGTGGGCCTAGGTAGATGGGATTCGACTGGGCTTTTAAGGGCAGCGTCACAGGGACGCCAGGAGAAGCCGAGAGAGAAGCAAGAGCAGAGAAACAGAAGGCTGGAGAGCCCAGAGTGAAGAACTGCTGGGGTTTGGGAGGCCAGCCAGCCTACCAGCCCCCCCAGCGCCCCTGCTTGCCATGTACCTGGTAATCCCAATAAAAACCTGCAAAACCACTGAGGACTCTGATTCCTCCTTTACCCGGTCTGCTGGATCATAGAAAACCTGCTCAGCGGTCCTTCCTGACCCTACAGGGTGAAAACGCTAGTGACTGGCACTGACAGGTACTACTGGCCAGTGCTACCCAGCACTGTTGACCAGTGGCCAG